AGTATTGTAGAATTTGGATTGCCCTCGACCTCACATTGTTAAGTAGCAAGGAGATCTTGCTGCACCATTGTTCTAAATTATGCCCTACTTGCCAAAGAAAGAACATCTCTTTTTCTGTGTGAACAGCGGAACACAGTTCACCATCATTTTGGTAGCTGAAAATTTATGAAAGTTGTCATTTATGTGCTTGCTACTTACACATCCTTGAAAACTAAGTTGTTCATCTAGAATTAGAACTTTTCTAGTGTTTAGTTCTAAGCTTAAACACATCTAATTGTGTTTTGAACGAGTAGTACCACCCTTTTTGTGCATTTGTTGTGTAATTATTAGTTTTCTGACACTACTGCATTTCCTGCGGACTATAATTACCTAACTCTAGGGGCCGAATGGGTACGCCTGTCGAGAAAACTGAAAAAGTTGAAGAACCTAAGCTTACAAATGGAACGAATCTTAACAATAATGAGAAGCAGCCTCAAGAAAGCGGTACCGAAGATAAGGAAAGCGTGGGAAGCTGTTGCCAAGGTGTTAATGGATTCTCATGTTGCAGAGATGAGAATTTCGAGAAGCCTGTGAAGAAGGGATCAGGCGGACTCTCTTGCTGGACAGGAAAATGGGAGCAGTGGGAAATTCTGACAGCCGTTGCTGTTGTCGGTGCAGTGGCTTCTATTGCCATGACTTATGGATTACATCGAAGGTCGAGGTAAAGTTTGCTCCATAACCTATCACTTACTTTCACCGTTGGGAGATATACGCCCTCGATTTTTGTAGAGGGGTATGACTAGAACTATAAATAAATTCTCTTGACCACGCCTTCTTGACAGAAGGAAATATGTATTCATCAATCTGAATTTCAAGATGAAAAGATTAGCTATATGAAGTTTCAGCATGTTACTTTTTCCTGAGATGTTTCTGCTTTGTTAGTACACTGTTGACTTCGTTTGTATCGATGCTGATTCTCATTCCAATATAAGCAGGTAATTGGTCCAGTTTTGGTATGGTTGGCCCATGCCTAAGATGTTCTTAATCATTTTGATTTTATAAACTATCCGCTATGGTTTTCTCGGGATCAAATTGGTTTATGAGCTTTACCATAGAATTGAAGCCAAAACAGTAGTGAAAAAATGTAGAACAACATATGTTTCAAAATATAATATCAAATATAGGAAACTTGTTGAAAAATTTCAAAATTTAGATGTTCATATTTTGTGACCTTCGATAAAATTTTGCAATCTATAATTTAATTAAATGAGTCACGATCACAATAATATATATTATTTGGTTAAGATTACATACTAATCACAAGATACATTAAGTCACAGTCAAAAATACAAATTTTATTCACAATTAAATATTGAGCCGTAAATTATACATTTTCGTGGGTTATAAATTAACTTGTCACAATCACTCTTTCTTGTTCTGCTCCCTTGTGCTCCGCCACAATTGAAGCATTTGCCGGTAATTCAGTTGTTGAAGTTTGGAGAAGACACCCTTTGCTGCCTAATCCACCTTAGGCCCCAGCTGTTCAAACTGCCTGTGGTGGGAGCCGGGAGGGTGCTTTATAAAATTTTGTTAATATCGTATTTTTGGAAATTGAAACTTAAAAACGTAATGTTTGAGGTAATTTTTCCTAAACAGTAAGTGCAAAACAAATTAGATTATAGGCTTCATATTAGAAAATTGACCTAATGGTTAATTATGAAGCAATTTTAATCTACATAGACTTTTGACAATGGCTTTTGCATGATTTTTCCTGTGAATCGTTAGATGTCATCAACAAAGTATTTATTAATTCCTATAGAGCAATTTAGGTGATACAAAAGTTAGAAAGATTTCCAGCTTATGTGACATTAATGTCTAATTGTTAGACATTCAAGTTTAAAGTTAGTGTCCAATGCATCTTATGGATTGCTACCTACATGCCCTTTATTGTCTTTAAAATAAAAGTAGAAGTCGGATATGAAATATAAATCTAGAAAGAAAATATTAGGGTATATTTGATTGTCAATGTCTTTCATGGAAAATATGTTTTTTTTCCATCCAAAGTTCTGCTGTTTGATTGACATTTCTTTCGTGGAAAACATTTTCCTATTATTAGTCACGTGACCATATATTTTTCAAAATTAAGAAAAATATTTTTTTTTCGGGGAAAGTATGATTTTATTTTTCAAGGAATTCACTTTCTCGATCTCTCTCTCATCTATCTACCAATAAAAATGGATAAGTATAATACTTTCTAGATTAAAAATTAAATCAATCAAACATATTTAATTGACAATTTTCATGCAAATCAGTTCTAAGCAATTGAATTGCCTAAAATTTATTCTCTTTCCATACGAATTTCATGCTTGCAGTCAAATGCACCCTTAATTTTGTTGAGTTACTCTGCCTAACAAATTTTCAAATTAGATGGAACTCTAGATATTGTATTTTTTTTCAATTGATGGAGTCTTTATCATAAGAAAACTTTAAAAAAAAAATCATTTATTTTTATTTATGGGACAAATTTTTTATGTAATCCATGGTTGTATTGGACGTGCTATAACAGTCTCCTAAAACTGAGCCAAATTCTTTAGTTGCCTTCCTTTTTATATTTATTTTACAGAAGAAATGTGTGTTCAGTAGTCCTTGATGATTAAATACTACAACATTTCATAGGATTAAGAGACAAAAAATTCAAGAAGCTGGGCTGAGGAAAGCTTATGAGAAACATCATTAGACAGTTTTTACATAAATAATTATTAAAAAGGTAACAGTCTTCCCTCAAATCATCAATTAGTTAGTTTTGTACAAAGAATTATAGTCTTCAAGTTCATAAAATTGAGCAGGATAAAAATTTCTCACCACAAGAGAACATTAGTTATCGTTCTCCGTATTTATGACCATTTCAAAGAATCATAACTTTAGATTCTGTTGCCAAGTCAACGGTGGAAAGTTTTTATCTTGTCCACTGGAGACAAAAGATTAAGACTATCCAAGTTGATTCCTATAGAAAGAAAAATGAAAACGTAGTAATACTAGCTAGCTAAACACCAAGGACACACTTACAACATTGTACATGACACCATCAAACAAGAGAAACATGCTCGAAAATGTCCGGTTAATCATGTCCTAAGTTTTGCAATCATCTCCTCGACCAACTTGAGCGAGGTTCCACCTCTTTCTCCTCTATCTATCTCCCTCATAACTTTCTCCAACAGCACATTTTTGGATTGTTTACTTTTTGATCCACAATTTGAGCAATCTCTTAAAAGCAGAAGCAATTCTTTGGCCTTTTCCTTACCCCTCCATGTTCCATCAACACTCAACTGAAGAAGCCCTGGCATCACACCTTCTCTCAAAATAATCCCTCTGTATCTATCTCTACAGTTCTGGCATATAACTAGAAGAATTCCCACTGCATGTTCTTTACATTGTGTTGATCCATCCTCCATAGCCTCCACGAGTGTCGGGATCGAGCCCCCGGTTTCTGCAGCCTCCTTTAGAGCAATATCTGATGAAGAAACAATCTCTTCAAGCAAACCCATAATTTTTTCCACCAAATCTGATGATTTTTCTAAGCCATAGATAAGCTGAAGCAGGGATACTACACAACCCGAACGGGCAAGTTGTCCGACAGTTTGTGGACATGTTGAAAGATTGTGGAGAGTTGATATAAAATCAAGCTTTGCCTGCATACTTACATTGTCACAGTTCAAATTTAGGAGATTAATAAGAAGTTGAATGGCTCCAGATGCTGCAATTTCTAGCTTGTTTTGTGTGCAAGAAGAGAGAATCAAGAGGGCTGCTGCTGCTAGATCAAGCAATGGCATGATTTGGCATTGAATAATCTTTAAAATCTCTGGTATTGCACCAGATTTTGCAATACGAATCTTGTTTCTGAAAAATAAAAATAAAAAAATATGAAAACATTATTAGCAAATTACACTGAAATTAGCTATTTTGCAGAATTAGAGTTAATAATATGACTAGACACTGTGTGTTATACTGCACATACAACATTGGGTATGGATTAAAATTTAGATTTTAATCAAAGTCAAAATTAACAACATATTTCATGAGATTCAAAACTTTCAACCACATATTTGTTCAACTTTTATAAAAAATCTGCTAAAAATCTTCACCACGGATTTATTATAGGAAAACTAGTATTCTTATTCTCTATTAGCTGTGTAACTATAAATCTTGAAGTGCTTTACTCATTTTCAGATTATTATTTCTTTCGAAAGTAAGCAAAGCATTATGGTCTAATCCATTGCAAATACGTGCATACATTGAAATATTGTCTAGTCAAGTGCACTCAACGTTAAACTCGTAAAAGTTAGATCTGAAGTAATCAAACCTTTCACTTCCAAAGGCCAGACTGAGCAAAGCAAAGAGTGCAGCTTCAATGGCTTCATAATCTTGCTCACTGAGCATCAAAACCAATGGTGAAATTACTCCCTTTTCAGCCACCCTCTGTCTTTGCTTACTATTATACTTAGCAACCTCCCTCGCCGCCGCAATCCGCCCATCTCGGCCGCTGAGTCGAAGAGCTTCCACCACCACCTCCTCCATGGAAGAAGCCCTCTATTCAACTCATCTATTATCTGGGTTCTATGAGAATTCTACCAATATATACATATAATATAGAGTTTGCTTGAGAAGTATGTAAGGTTTTTTGCTTTTGGCTTTATGGCCTCTTCCTATTGTTTGAGTTAGAAGCATTCCCTGCTCGATAACTTTCCATAACTGTCCTAAGTGGAAATATACTTTGGAGTGAATATTTCACTTTCCTTTTATAGAAGAAACTGCCTTTATCTCCTTTTAAAGTAATCTAATGATGTGGATTTTGGAGATTCTGTTATTCATGTGTTGTACTATATATATGGTACATGTTGTGTGTGAACATGGGCACGTGCTTTTCATTTAATTTTCTCGATTCGTTCCATATAATGTAATAATATATGAAAAGTTAATTAACTCATAAAAAAGGTTGAACCCCAATCTTGACGGATCCTACCGCCCTGCTCCTGGAAAATCGTGAAGGAGGTAAATCGCGAGATGTGCCCTTGCATACCAAGGAACAAAAGTTTAATTTCATATCTCAAGAATTGAATCATCATACTGCAGCTGTCTGCAAGATTGAGACTACCTCACTCCTGTCCTTTGTACCACTAGGTTATGCCTCTCGAGAGGCAAGTTAATTAACTCATTAATACATTACAATGTGCTCCCTTCTCCATTCGTCCTGTATTTTTTCCTTTTCATTCACTCAGATTTCTTCTGCATCTTATATATTTCTTTTCAAATTTAGTCATGGGCTTCCAACCTTCAATTAGAGGTGTCAACTGAATTGGATTAGGGACAATTATATTTAATTTTAGGCCGTTCGTTTTGAATTATGAACTTTCGAGTTTTTTTTACATAATCTCTCTCTCCCCCCCCATTTTTTTCTCAATGCAAGCATGCCTGCAATTCTTATAATTGCAGCTCAACTCTAGGAACGCATCAGTTAATTGCACCGTCTACTCGAGTCAAGTGACGGTCCATTATATTTTGATAGCTCTATTTACCATTATATTTTTTTTTCGTGATTTCAAGATGGCTTAGTCAAATAGGATTGTTTTCGACCCAACTATTCGAACAACAACATGAGAACTTCATCATCGATACCTAAAAAAGTATTAGCGAGCCGGACTACACTTTCGTTATCTATTATAGTTATAGTGATCATGTTACATTATTTTCTTAGGGAAAACTTGTTTACTGAGTTGCATTAACACGTCCTACGTCGGACCTGCAAATCCTACGATCCAAACTTTTGATCTCATTGGGAGACAAACTCAGATTCCAATATGCTTCGAAAATATAAAATAATAAAAAATGAAAAAGAGATACCTAATCCGTTGCGGAATTTGAGGAATTTCATTTGCCGATATATACGGCAGCCCAACATTTTTTTACGGGAAATACTGCTTAAAATCTATCTGATAATTGACAATTCCCATTGGGAGTAGCTATTTTTATTATTTTTATTTTTGGTTTAATAACAATCTGACTAAAATCAGTTACACAATGTCAGTGCTTTGAATACTGCTTTCTAGTTGCAAAATACCATCCAATGCATTTCCCTACGAGGTTTTGGGTTCAGATAGATAATTAAATAAAGGAAAATTTGGAGTAGAAGTCCAAAATATTTTAAAAATGTGCAACTAGATCCTATTACTTCTAACCTTAATACTT